AGTTGGTAGGATTCTCTGGATATCATCTTGGAAAACCCACTCTGCTCAAGCAGAGCCATCTAGAGCCAGTTGCCCATGATAATGTCTAGATAGCTTGTGAGTATCTTCAGGGATGGAGAGGCCACAAGCTCCCAAGGCAACCTGTGCCCGTACTCAACTGGGCCAGAAGGAGGACCCAGGAAACTACAGGCCCGTCAGCCTGACCTCAGTGCCTGGCAAGGTTATGGAGCAGATCATCCTCAGTACAATCACACAGCACCTACAGGATGGACAAGGGATCAGACCCAGCCAGCACGGGTTTAGGAAGGGCAGGTCCTGTCTGACCAACCTGATCTCCTTTTATGATCAGGTGACCCGGCTGGTGGATGAAGGGAAGGCTGTGGATGTCGTCTACCTGGACTTCAGCAAGGCCTTTGACACCATCTCCCACAGCATACTCCTGAAAAAGCTGGCAGCCCATGGCTTGGACAGGAGCACTCTGTGCTGGGTTAGGAACTGGCTGGATGGCCGGGCCCAGAGAGTGGTGGTGAACGGCGCTGCATCCAGTTGGCAGCCAGTCACTAGTGGTGTCCCCCGGGGATCAGTGTTGGGCCCAGTTCTGTTTAATATCTTTACTGATGATCTGGACGAGGGGATTGAGTCCATCATCAGCAAATTTGCAGATGACACTAAGATGGGGGGGAGTGTGGGTCAGCCGGAAGGCAGGAGGGCTCTGCAGAGGGACCTGGATAGGTTGGAGAGTTGGGCTGATTCCAACGGGATGAGGTTCAACAAGGCCAAGTGCTGGGTCCTGCACTTTGGCCACAACAACCCCATGCAGCGCTACAGGCTGAGGACAGAGTGGCTGGAGAGCAGCCAGACAGGAAGGGACCTGGGAGTTTGGATTGACAGGAAGCTGAACATGAGCCAGCAGTGTGCCCAGGTGGCCAAGAAGGCCAATGGCATTCTGGCCTGTATCAGGAACAGCGTGGCCAGCAGGTCCAAGGATGTGATTCTTCCCCTGTACTCAGCGCTGGTGAGGCCACACCTCGAGTACTGTGTCCAGTTCTGGGCCCCTCAGTTCAGGAAGGACATGGAGGTGCTGGAGCAGGTCCAGAGGAGGGCAACTAGGCTGGTAAAGGGACTCAAGCACAAGTCCTATGAGGAGAGGCTGAGGGAGCTGGGGCTGTTCAGCCTGGAGAAGAGGAGGCTCGGGGGAGACCTCATCACTCTCTACAACTACCTGAAAGGAGGTTGTAGCCAGGTGGGGGTTGGTCTCTTTTCCCAGACAACTGTCAGCAAGACAAGAGGGCATGGTCTCAAGTTGTGCCAAGGGAGGTTTAGGTTAGATATTAGAAAGAATTTCTTTACAGAGAGGGTGATCAGACATTGGAATGGGCTGTCCAGGGAAGTGGTGGATTCTCCGTCCCTGGAGATTTTTAAAAAGAGACTGGATGTGGCACTTAGCGCCATGGTCTAGTAACTGCAGCAGTAGTGGATCAAGGGTTGAACTTGATGATCTCGGAGGTCCCTTCCAACCCAGCTGATTCTATGATTCTATGATTCAATTATTCTCATAGTAAAAAGTGTGTTTCCTGATGTTCAGAGGGAACCTTCTTTATCTTAGTTTTTGCCCATGACCTCTTGTCCTGTCACCGAGCTTCATGGAAATGAGCCTGGCTCTGTTTTCTTTACACTCTCCCTTCAGGTGTTTATAGACACTGATGATATCAGCCCTGAGACCTCTGTTCTCCAGACTTAGCAGTCCCAGTTCTCTCAGCGTTCTTGACAGTGCAGAGATGTTCCCATCCCTTAATCACCTTCATGGTCCTTCACTGAACTCATGTCCATGTCTCTCTTGTACTGAGGAGCCCAGAACTGAACAGTTCAGTACTGCAGAGCCCAGTACTTCAGGGGTGGCCTCACCAGTGCTGAGTAGAGGAGCACCTCCCTCAGCCTGCTGGCAAAACTTTGCTTAGTGCAGACCAGGATACTGGTAACCTTCTTTGCCACAGTGTGTATCACTGGCTCATGTCCGACTTGGTGTCCAGCAGCATCCCAAGCTGCTCTCCATCTGAGTGGCTCCCAGCATGTACTGGTGTGTGGGGTTGTTCCTTAGCAGGTGCAGGACTTTGGACGTCTCCTTGCTGAACTTCCCAAGGTTTCTGTCAGCTCATTTCTTCAGCCTGTCAAGCTCGTGCTGGATGGCAGCATGCCCCTCTGGTCCATCAGCCACTCCTCCCAACTTTGTATCATTGTCAAACTCGCTGAGGGTATGTTTTGCCCCATCATGCAGATCATTAACAAAGATATTAAACTTTGCACTGTTCATCACCACCCACAGGGCCCAGCCATTCAGCCAGTTTTCCATCCACTTCCCTGTCTGCCCATCCAACCCCTACAGCAACAGCCTGTTTTTGAGGGCTTTGAGGCTGTTATGGGAGACAGTGTCAGAGATCTTACTGACAGCCTGGTAGACGCTAGCCACTGCTCTCCCTTCATCTGCCAGACACATCAGTCCATCACAGAAGTTTATTGAGTTGGTAAAGCCATACTAAGTACTCCCAAGGAATTTCTTGTGTCTGGAATGGAGTTTAAGGATGAGCTGCTCTGTGACTTTCTCAGGGATTGAGGTGAGGCTGACCAGCCTGTAGCTCCACGTGTCCTCCTTACCTGTCTTGAAGATAAAAGGAACAGCATGTATGGAGATCACGCTCTGACTTTCTTTTCCTTAAAAATTGTGGCATGTATGGTATAGAAGGGAATATTTCCCACGCACTGTAAAGTTAACTTTCTTTGCTACTCAATTCTTCTTGCATAACTTTTTATTTTTGTGAAAGTCTCAGAGGCTTTCTTTTCTCTCTTGTGAGAGTCATGTTTCATCTTGCAACCCACAAGTTTATGGAACTAAAGATTGGATTAATATGTGTGATATGGCATTATGTAGGGAGACTGGTTTTAGTTGTTCTTCTGTCATGATCGTCAAGTCCTCTTTATGCTTGAGTCTGTGTTTAGTTGTTTGTTTATTACGATTCCTAAATACTCTCTTAACTAAAGATGTGACTTGCTTTCTTTGTTTCTAGATGTAGAACTTTACTTGTATTAAAAGTATTTTGCATGCTAATATATCACGCGTTCATGTAGCTCTGCCTGTATCAGTACTGTGTTTTTCAAACTGATTACTGTTACTTATGCTTATCCATTTTACTGTGACTTTTTAATTTTTTTACATTGTACCTTTGGAGATACCCAGTTCAGCCTAACTGGATAAATTAATAATAATAAAAAGGATTTTGTTACTTAAAAGTTTTAGTATTAGTATGGTTCAGTTCTGTCTATCACATATGACTTTGCTTGCCTCACAAATATCTGTTGCCCTACACTCATCAGTATGTACTCATCTAGTGTAGCAAAATTGTTGTGATTGATATGTGTAAGCAGAACAGACAGGAAGCATGTATACCCAGCTCTGTCTGTGTATGGCCAGGAATTCTGATGTTTTTCAGAGCATTGAACCATCACCACTTTTTTAAAGTAAGCGTACTCATTTTCATAAATAAGGTACAGAATCTATAGAGTTCTTCATTCAAATGCTTGTTCATATGCTGCAAGTGTCGTAACAGCTGGGAGGTTTATTACTGTTTATTGCAAAGTAAAGATTATATCCTGTCAGCATGTGATTACCCAAAGACCTAATGGAAATGGTTGAGCAGTTTCAGATCCAGTTACTGTTTGTAACTTAGCAATTTTACAAACTAAGGAGACAAATATTAGCCCTCTATTTTCAGAATAGCTGCAGTGTACCCCTGATGACTTGCTCTATTACGTGTGGTAGTCCTTACACTAATTTAGGTGGTTGACCTTTTGTAAATCCGCATTAATTATTCCCAGGGACCTTCTTCATGTACCTGAAAATGGATTTGAATTTTAGCTGATCAGTCAATAGTTCTTGGGCTTTATTTTGCATTTTTTTTAATATAGTTGCAACAATTACTTTTCTCTAGTCACTGAGTTCCTACCCTGTTCTTTACAATCTTTCAGAGATGATGGAGAATAGGACATCATCCTGGTCTCTCAGTGCTCTTACATGCACTGCCTGGAGTCTCAGGAACTTACATAGGTTGGGATTTCTCTAGAAATCCCTGACTCAAACTTATTCTACTACTGGTAGTTTTTCTTCCCCTTGAACCTTCTTTGTAGACCCAAAGACCTAGAAGACCTTGTTGGTGATAACCAAGGCAAATGCTGAAGCAGTGTCCTGAATCCCTGAAAGCAGACTGAAGCACTGAGTGACTCATCCTCATATGCATTTGTCATTACAAAGATCCATCCCATTAAGGATGGGGTGACTGGCTTTTTGTGTGGGGCCCTGCAGACGGCCCTGCTTTTTTTGTTTGTTCTTTTACTATTTGCATAGTAATCAGGTTCGAATCAAGCGTTATCAGTCGTTGTTAACTGAAATTAAAAGTAGAACTTTGGTTTTTTATTTAATAAAAATCTATTGATGCCATTATATCGGGGATTTTGCAGATAAATAGCTTCTTTGGTAGAGGGAGATGATTGATAAATTTGACGCCTTTGTAGCTATCTGCAATATGTGCACTGCAAAGCCAGTATAAAAAATAAAATTAGATCTCATGCAAATTGGCAGATCATTTTGAAAAATAAAAATTCAAATAAAAATAATTTTGTATTGCTTCTTTGGGATATAAGTAGAATTACTATAATCAGGATTTGTATTTCAGACTTAAAAGATACCCCTGCTTGGGTGTGTGTATACTTTGAGGTGATGGAAACAATAGAGAACATATAATTTATTTTTTGTTAATTAAACAGATATTTTCAGATGAGCTTTCTGTAAATACTGAGGTCTTAGCAATTTGTGGTACTAATTATGTCATAGCAGCAAAATTTTAGAGGTAGAAACATTTGTTTCTTCTTGTTTTCTTTCCCCCGGCTTCCCTGAAGGAAAACTTCACCTTTTTTTTTTTTCTTTTCTTAACTTTTTCTCTTGAATTCAGGGCAAGCATACAAAGAAGAGTCATTGTTACCCACCAATGAACAGAGATCACCGCAGAATCATCCACGAATTAGCTCAGGTTTATGGTATTGAAAGTGTGAGCTATGACAACGAACCAAAGCGCAATGTTGTTATTACTGCAGTGAAGTACGTAATTCGTTATTGTTTTCAAATCTTTTAAGCATAGTTTAAGTAATTGGATGTTTTTATCACTTACCAGAATGAGTTTATTTACAATGCAATTTGAAAAATGCACTAATTTCTAGTAGATTTTTTTTTAAAGCAGTTTTTGAATTGATTATTTAATGGGCTTCTATTTCTACTACTCAAGTATATCTTCAGAGAAGAAAACACAATTAGAAATAATAAAGTCAAGAAAATATTTTGCCAGGTGGTTTTCCATTCATCTTTGCAGTAACTTTTTGTCATCAGCTAAATTTGATAGAGGTATCAAAGATAGTATGTAATGACACTTTATAAAAACTAATTGATGGGTTGAGAAATCATACATAAAATTTGCATCACCTTTGGTAAAATCTGGTTATTGTAACATATTTGTTCTCCATCTATCTGAACCTACCCCAGAGGATGCTCCCTCTAGTTAATGGACAAAGAGGGATCTGGAATTACTGCAAATTGAAGAGATTTCTAAGCAAAAACAAAAATATTTGGAGAAGACTCACAGAAGGCAGTTCATATTAGAAAAGAAAATTAAGGAAATACAGCTAGGGGGAAAGCAAGGTGATTGTACTGGAGACATAGTATGGGACAGTTTCCAGTATCAGGGCTTTATTGATTCTGCTCCTCACTCAACAGCATATTTAGTTTAGCATTGTCAAATTGTGATTCTTTGACAAACAGTTGTTTTTAACTGTAGTCATAAGAAACCTGTCACCTTCTGTGGTACTAGAATGCCATGAGCTGTTCCTGAACTTGTTCATTCATTGGTAGCTTAGCTACAATCTTGATTTCTTCCAAGAGAGATGGAGCATCACTTTGATCTTACGATGTAAGATACTTTTGTTTCAAGTAAAGGAAGATGAGAAAAGAGATCATATTTGAAAGCGCTTACCTAAGAAAAATAAATGGATGGAGGTAGTGGGATCAGAAATTAATGAAGAGGATAAAATGGTGGAAAAAGGAGAAGGACAGATGACTCTCCTTTAAAAGCAAAGGCATATCCTGCAACTTGAGAATGGGAGGCCCTCCTCTATGATTTTAGAAGAGTTTGCAAACTTGTTCCTTCCCTTGTGTTGTTCAGGGAATAGCATACTGCGCAGAATGCACATGTGCTTCTGTTTCATCACTGCCGCTCTTAAAAGACACTTGGTGGTCTACTAAGAATATTCTTCAGCTGTATCGCAATATTTCTTCATGCAGTGGATTCATCCAAAGCTTCTTTTCAATTGTCTTTTTATTTGCCACGTCTTCTGAGGCTAAAAAACATTGTAGCCTCAGACAAGTGATAGGCCCAAGTTCCATGCTGATATTTTTGAGTATTTCACAATGGCTTCTTCAATTCCAGGAATTCAAATCACCGGAAAGTCATGTTTCATTCTGTTCTCAGCATTCCCTGTGGATTTCTATCATGAGCTCATTCATGTATAGATAATTCAAAATAATCAGGCAAAAAGACCATTCCTCCTCTTCACACTCCACCATTGTGGCATTGAAATGGTAACATCACCATACAGGTAGGGTAGAGGAGTGAGAAAATCTCCTTGGTGCTAAGAAAGCTTCCTCCATCCAGGCTTCTTCCTCTTCTGGATATGTAGGAGCAAACGCCATAAAACTTGCTTTGCCCTTAGCCCCTGGCCCCCATCACCATTAGAATCACTGCATTAGGATCACAGATATACAGTATTGCCCATGTGTAACCACGGAGAAGATTATTCCCAGTATTGATTGTTAAGCTTGATCTGAATCACATTTTTGGTGTCATTCGAAGTGTAAGACCCCTAGTGAATTCTTGCAAGTGCCCTTCTCTGTAATTCCCTGTTGGTCATCTTTGCAGTCTCCATCTGTTTAGCCGTTACAATACCAGATTCTTTCTGAACTAGATTCAGAGGTAATGTCCAGACTACTATAGTGAAAAGAGTAAAGCTTTCCTCTCCAAGCATACACATTTGTTTCACTGTTACTGTCAGTGGTTTTTTGAAGTCTTTTACTCATATGAATTTCCTCTTTCTCCAAATAGCTCTGATTCCAGAGCCTGTTAAAGGAGTATCTGCTTGTTGTTATGTTGTCTCAGTCTGAAGAGACTGGAATGTTTGCTAAAGAGGATGAGTTATGAGACAGACCAAACTCCTCTCTCTCAGCAATTGTAAATTCAAAAATTAAGGGACTTTAATCAAGGAAGTGTGGAAAAAAAAAGAAGAAATAACAACCCTTTATTAAAAGATATATCTATATTGGCAAGAACAGTAACAGAACATAAAAACAACAGAACAATAGTCCTGTACCCAGAAGTTCCCTTCAAACAAAAGAAAAAGTCTGAATACTTCTCTGTCTTCTAGCGCAGTTCTAATCACGGTTGGCAGGGGGCGCTGTTGGGTCGCTGGAGGTGCAGAGCCTGCAGTTCTCTTTGTTGACCTGCAGGGGGTGCTGTTGGGCTCTGGCGGTCACTGCGTGTGGAGGGGGGTGGTCTCGGGTTGTGGGAGAAGCCGAAAAAAAAAATGGGGGACCCTTCCCCCAGTGGAAGAAAGGGGGAAAGGAAAGTAGTCCACCCCCAACGGAACTCACTGTTGTTCCCAGATGACAGTGTCTCAAGGCTCCTCCCTCCCTCAGTGAGCACAGAGCTCTCCGATGAAAACACACCAAAACTCGGGCCGGAGGCAAAGGCAGCCTACGAGGAAGCTGAGGCCAGCCAAAGAAAACCGACCTCAAGGCTCCCCTCTCCCAAACTGCCCGCACACAGACTCTATCTCTGTTCTCTAGAGTGAACTCCGCCGTCTGCCTCTCTCCCCTCCAAGCAGAGCCAGCCACCCCCTCCCAAAACTCCTCCCCTCTCCCCCCAGCCTCTAATGGCCCATCAGTTAGGAATGCGGCCTGGCCAGCTAGTTCCCTTGTAACGCTAATCTCCCTCCTTTCCATTCTCAACTGATAGGACTGTAATATACTTGTCGTTAGAATGTACATGTACACATAATATAACCTTGAAAAAATTATAGTCACGGGCAAGTAACTTTTTTCCCAAATAATGAACACTTTCACTGTTCAGGAGATAGGGACACTTTTTAAATTGGTGACCTATGTTTGTAAGATTTTTTAGTTCATTTGAATAGACTGACAATACTCAGTTTAAAAGAATACTGAAATGGGTTCAGGGGTCACCACCTCATATTTTAGTGGACTTCTAACTTACCTTGAAAATGTTGTGGCGTTTTTCATCTGTGTTGCCTCCATATCACAGAAATGGGCCGTTGTATTTTCAGACTGATAGAAATGAGACAGGAAAAAAAAGACAAATATGATGGAAATAAGACAAAGACTTCATTTTTGTAAACTCTGAAGTAGAACTAGTGTTCATCTATGTACTGATGTGAGATTTCAGCTGCTTAGAGCTCTGAGGGAGGTGGGGAAAAAGTATGAATTACCAAGTATGTGCAAAGCATGGAATTCAACACGTGCCCATTTCTGGAATTATAGCAATATACAACCCATTGCTTTGCAGCATTTTTGCTATTCAGTATGTAACTTTGAAAGGAACAAGATGAACTTGTTCATCCTGTAGGAATTCACTGAGTAAGAATGTAACGTAATTAGTAAGAATGTAATGTAATTACTAATGTAATTAGTAAGAATGTAATGTAATTAGTAAACACGAAGAATCTCATGGTCTGGAGGAGTTTATTTAAAAATGCATTAATGAAGTAAATAAGGAGGAAACATTATTTAGTGCTTGACACAGAATCATAGAATCATTGAGGTTGGGAAAAGACCCTTAAGATCATTGAGTCCAATTTTACTACCGCTAGACCATGTCCCTAAACACCATGTCTGCACATCTTCTAAATACTTCCAGGGATGGTGACTCAACCACTTCCCTGGGCAGCCTGTTCCAACTCTTTTGGGGAAGAAATTTTTCCTAATACCCAATATAAACCATTCAGATAGAAATAGGAAAGCAGTTCAGTTTAGTGTACTGAGAAGTAGTTTGGTTTGAAAATGTCAGTAGCATGGGTTTAGAGGAAAACGCAAAAAGCATAAGAAATGGACCATTACAAGGTTTAGGAATTTTGATTTATTCAGCTTATCTGCCCCCAGAAAAGATGAAGAAGAAACTGTGAGTGGGAAAGATGCTGATAGTGGAAGCTCTTTCAGTCTTGCAGTAAATCATAACAGTGAAATAAAGCAAGTTCAGTCTTGAAAGTCACTCGTGAATTAAGAGGAAATTTTAAGACATCTCCACAACCTAATAGAGATATAGTGTGTTTGGTAATTATTTGTTTTTTATTAGATGCCTTTTTGGAACAATCTTTCTAGGACTTCTTTTTTTTCCTGGGTGTTGGGGGTTGTTTGTTTTCAGATTTTTTTATATCCTTTCTCTTTCTGCAGTCAGTTCAAGTCTTTGGCACAGACTGCCTACTGAAGTTGACTGTGATTCACAGCCAGTATATGTCTAAAGCATATAACTGCTAAAGTACACTGTCCTCCTATACGGGAGAAAATAATGCCCTGCAACTATAGCCATATGGTGACCCTTGCATTGCAGACGGGACAAGCACAAGCAGGATGCTTCATTGTTTGGTGGCAATCACAATCATAATAGATTGTAACTAGTGTGGAGGGTAGAAAGAGCTGATTTTTTTTTCCCCCTCTCTAATGCATAATGGTTTTTTTCTTATCTGGTTCACCTGGACTAGCTGACAAGGAAGAGGCAGTGTTGCTGCACTGTTCCTGTGAGAGTGCTGCTTAGCAGGGCTTTGCAGTGATCAATGGGTTTAACATGGCTTACTGCCAGAGTCTGAAAAGGTGCTTCCCAAACATGAGATAACATATTGTGAAGATTCAGTGAACTGTGTTCTCATGATGCTGAGTTAAGTTATTAAGTTGTTCCTTCTGATTTTTTATCTTTTTCCCTGAAAGAACAGATACATGTTGCCCTAGAGTTCAAGTATTGCATTTTTGATATTTTAACAGCTGATCATTTTGTGCACTTCATAGTAGAAAGGAGCTGTACACTTCATATGCAGAAAAGGAATCTGAGTACCAATGCTCAGATCTAGTAAGCTGCTTCTGCATCTTGTGAGAGGAGGAGGAGGGGCACTCTTTGGTGACCAGTGACAGGACCCAAGGGTTGTGTCAGGGGAGGTTAAGGTTAGATATTAGAAAAAGGTTCTTCACCCAGAGGGTGGTTGGGCACTGGAACAGGCTCCTCAGGGAAGGGGTCACAGCACCAAGCCTGACAGTGTTCAAGAAGTGTTTGGGCAATAATCTCAGGCACATGGTGTGACTCTTGGGGATGGTCCTGTGCAGGGCTAAGAGTTGGATCCTTGTAGGTCCCTTCCAACTCAGCATATTCTGTGATTCTGTGAAGAGACATGTAGAGTACTGGATATCTTCTTCTTGGTAATGAAAATGTACTTTGTGCACTGCTGGTCTCCATGGTTGGAAAATTAAATATTTGAATAGATTATGAAAGTATACAGGTATGAACTCTGACAACAAAACTGCTACTTACAAATATTACTCTTTCCCAGCTTCTTAATGAATGTAATTTCCTATTGAATTAAATAACCTTTCTTTTATTTCTTTAGAGGGAAATCCATTTGTCCAAGCAACACCTTAACTTCTGTGCTAGATAAAGAAATGCAGAGCAGGCCTCCACCTCCTATTCCTCATTACAAACAAACAGATAAGTAAGGAATTCGTTTCAGAACAGTGTTTTTCAATTTTGTGCTGACTTACCTGAGGAACGTCTTCCTGAGCTTCAACTGTATACACTCTATTTCTTATTTTTTCCCAACCCACACACAGCTCTGGAGCTTTCAGCATGCACTACGATGTTCTCTCCAGAGAAGTAAGCCTGAAATGAAGTGAGAAGAAAATGTAGGAGTGGCTATGTAATACAGGGATAGTGATATAACAAATATTATGGATTTTTAAAATTATTTTATAATAAATATTAGATAGTTGGGAAGAGAGTGTCATTTGGGAGAGTTGGGAATTTTTTTTTTTACCTTTAACCATTCTCTGTACAAGAGTAATATCTTACTGGCATGGTTTATTTGGACACATAGTAAATGTATTTTTCTTGTGTAGATATGACTACACAGTTAATTGAAGGTGAACTACCATTTTTTATGAGATAGTGAAAATTACTGGGATATATAAGGCTTCCTGTTGAATAGTCTTAATAGAACAGTCTTTGCTTCGTATGACCTGCCAGCTTCAGATACCTGTAGTTATTTTCATTTCCACTTCTGTGGAATTGCTGTCTTGAGTGGCCCTAATTCATGTAAGGGAGTTATGTCGCAAAATTAAATAAAGGGCTTTAGCCATTTATTTTAATTACTGTAAGTGAAATTTCTTTAGAGTGCTTAATTCTAAAAGATATTTTGGAAGATCTCATACTCTCGTATTGAAAAAAATTTTTACAGTGTTTGGATTTGGTATTACCATGTATTTTCTCTTACTCTTGTTTTTAAAAGCAAGCACATTTGATCATCAGCTCACTTTAACAGTATTTCTTTTGCTGTTTCTTTTAAAAAGACATTTTGAACATTTAGTCTTCAGTACACTATAATTTTTGTAATAAATATTACAAAATTATTGTAAATCATATTTTCTGGTAAAACTCTGAAACAAATTTTATCGATTCAGACATGTTGATGTACATTAATTTAATAAAGTACATGTTTTTTCCAAAAATCAGTCAACAAAGGCTTTCTGAAGCGTTAAGGTACTTCTGTTAAAACGTAATTTAGAAGTACATGCCATTTACCAAAGCAGTGTACATGTGCACACTGAGACATTATGTGAGTTTGTGATTTCAGTTTACTTTGTATCTTGTTCTTCATGCATGTGAGTAACATCTAATATTCTTATAATTTCAGGAGTAGTGGAAACATTGGCTTATCCAAACCATTAAAAGAAGAGCCAGTAATTGACTACTTTGATGTCCAGGACTGAAGTGATTGATGTAGAATCATTCAGATGTATCAGAATCATGTTGATTATGAATGATACAGATGTTTAGAGGTGAAGATAATAAGTTATTGTGTGAGGTGCTTTTTGATTATCTGTCAAATGATCAGTTGTTCAGTATATTCATGATTTAACATCTAAAGTTAGATAGATTGTGACAGTTTAAAAAGTTATGCATTTCAACAGTTTATGTGAGTGCATAATACTTAATAGTAGTATAGCTTTTTAAACCTGGGTTTGGTGCAATTTTTTATCTAACGAGCTGTCAGAATGATGTATATTTTCATTGATGCCTTTAAAGCAAGAGAACTGGTGGTAATTAAATGTATTTTTGGGATATTAAGAACAACAATAAATCACAAAGATTTATTTTGTCAGATCTCACACAAATTAAAATAGACTAGAAACAATCTGTGATAAAAACACTGGTCAGGAAATTCTCAAAGTATTTTCATGTTTTATTAATCCACATTTGTGTTAATGTGGTAAATTTGGGAATTTGAGTTACTCTTTTACATGGAAGGAAATATAAAATTTAAGTATGAATATATACATTAATGCATATTAAGAGCACAGACTTCCTTTGGTATCTGAAGAACCAGCATTTGGGGAAAGTGGGGATTAAGACTTACTTTACTTTATCTCAGATTTGACACGTTAAAACAGAAAGAAACAAACAAGCAAAAACAAAGGAAAAAACCCAAGCCAAACAACAACAAAACCAACCCCACAACACAAGATTACTACTATAACTTGGTTTAGTAGTACTTAATAAGTTGGTCTTTGTTCAAGACCTTGAACAAAATAAAAAAATCAGACTTTATATATATTTTGGTGTTTTATGCATGGTTTTATTGGGGCTTACATTTTTTTCTGTACTGTGCAAGCTTAAGATGAATGTGTGAAGTTTGGTTTAAGTATGTTATGGATTTGGAATAATATTTGTAAAATTTATAAGACCATCTAAACTGTTTGATAATAGAAGATCTTTGCTTTATGGGAAATGCCATTAACAAAATGGGATGACAGTTTAAACACTGAAAGAGACCAGAGTGGTCTCATAGATGGTGAATTGTTTCCAGATCTTGATTTAAGATAGGTGCGTAGCTCTCTGGGAGAGGAGATTGTAGGTCTGATCGGAAGAGATGGTACAGCTCTGAATTTGAGTTATATCTGTTCTCTTGAGGAGAAGGTTTTTTATATTAATAACTTCAGGAACTCTGACACTGATGCACTCTTTTTCTTGATCCTTGTGGTTGCTATAATTAGCACTAGAGGTGAGTCCCCTGCACAGCATCAGAGGCTGCTGCTAAAAGGGCCTTAGCATGAAGAAGAAACAGATCTAGCAGAAGACTTGGTCATCTGTTGATTTAATTTTCAGCCAGCATGTTGTAGTGTGAGATTTGTTGCCAAGAAAATGGAAGGCAGTTCTGCCTGCTTAGATTCACTTAGTTATCATATGACCCTGAGCCTTAACTATGAAGCATTCTGTGGCTACATTTCAGTTGAACAGTTCATGAAACATTAAAGAATTAGCAGCAAACTCACAGACTGTATCTGTCCCCCAAATGTTTTGAAAATGAAAATGCATGCTATTATCATTTATTTTTGTAGGGGTTTATTATTTCACATTTTTAAAAATGCAGTCTTAAATGTTTTGAAGTGCTTCAGGTAGAACAGGTACCCTTAAGAGTGTTCAGACTTCTAATTTGTATATAGTAATTTAAATTGGTTTTATGGTTTTTTGTCTAATACTCTGTGATCAGAAATGAAAAATGAATCAATATAGCTTATATTGCCATTAATTTCATAAGCAAATTACGGTTTGATTCTACAAGGTGTAATGCTGCTAAGTTCAGCTGAAGAAGTAAGTTACTCTACATCTTTCCAGGAATGTATTTCTTCAATCCCTTCATTGTGAGGAGTGTGTATGTGTATGAAAAGCTTGCAGACAAGTGCCAGCTCAATATGACCAAACAAAGGCTATTTCTGGTTTTGAAACTCAGAGCTATAGCACTGAGTTAATACAGCACTGATTTCAATCTAGTAAGACCTTTAGGGAGAATTTACATAGTTATACTGCAAAGGTAGGGTTCTGGACAGGAGCTGGTACACATTTCCAGTGAACTGAGTTAGATGCATGTACACTGGAGCACACATAGACCTAACACTACAGAAAACCAAGGTGATTTAGTTTATAATAAAGAGAATAAAGCTGAAGCCTACTAACTTTTCATAGTTTCACATGAATATAGCCAAAACATCACATTTATGCCTCTGATTTGAAATTTAAAACTTAAAAGATTTTCATAGCATTATTTTTAGCTCTGCTTTTTGGAATTTTCATCAGATTATGGCTTCAACATAAAAATGTGAGCCTTGGTGAGATGCACTTCAGCAGACAAATATCTGCCACTGCTTGTAATAAGAAAACAGAGGTAATCTTCAGCTTCGCAAGCTGAGATTGATAATTATTACTGAATCTTTTAATACTGAGGAGTCATCCTTCCCATCACTAACCTCTTAACTATGTGAATGTTAAAACATTTTTATAGATCCATATGTCACACACCTCTAAATCATGGCTGTTGGAGCATACCTGTAGTTATGAAGCAAGTCACATGTGCCAAATCTTTTTTTTAATGCATTTTAATAACTTGGTTAAAAACATGATACTATACATTTACCCATGAAAGTAATACCAAAAAGAAAGTATTGATATTTTTCTCCCCAGAACAGTTACATTAGCCTTAAGGAATTCAGCAAAGGTTAACAGTGGTGCTGTTCTCTGTTTTTGTTTGCTTTTGCTGCAATGTATCGGTGACTTTCATATGGAATAGTAATAAAGGCTGTAGTTTTGATATATGTGATAACTCATCTTTATATTGCACGTGTGCCTCGTGGAAATATTTTCCAAATAGCTATTTTGTAAATCTGAGCTGGCTTTTACACCTTTATCTAATAGAAAAATGGGTGGATAAAAGACATGCATCAATGAAGTCGGTGGCAAAAATCCTATTGACATTACTGGAACTATGACTTCAGCTTTGATATGCTAGTAATTTTCCAGAGCCCTAAGAATAATATTGGTCCCTGTAAATTTATTTGAAAAAAGTACTTTGCAATAAACATCTTTTGAAATAAGTTCTGTGATGTCAATTGGAATTCATGCAACTTCATGAAGTGCTTTTAAAATTGTGTATAAAATAGGCAGATACTATGGCATTTGGGCTCTGCTATTGCCTATCTGTATTGTTTAACGTGTTTAAAGTGCTCTGAATATTCAGTGCATGGGTTTAACCTAAAATTGTATAAGATGCATAAGTAGACTTCAATACCACTGTTTCTGTGGCAGTTTTGTACAGTATCTGCCTCATACCTAAATGAGCAAAGTAAAATTGTTTTACAATACTTAAGTTATTTGTTGATAGATTTATATTTTACTGGATTTTTTCAAGTTACTGATTTAAAATTACTTTCTTTATAAACCTAAAATAAATCTAAATTGAAAGTTCAGTGCTTTGGAGTTGTTTGCAAACTTTGTTTTGGTATTCCAGAGTTGGAACACTGAGACATCACAGAGAAACAGTAAAGATTTAAATGGAAATCTGGGGAGTCCTTTTCCTCAAATTTTGAAAGAAAAGTGTGATTTCCTGGATTTGAAGTGGTTTTTAAATGAGTACGCTATGGAGAATGAAGCAAGTAAAGAGGGCTCCCCGGGAAATGGAGACTGTGCTATCTTCTTGGAATTCAGAAGTACAGAAGAGATGATTCTGAATAGAAATGTACATTTTGGTTATCTGAAAAACCCTTTATTATGTCAGCCTAAATGCTACTTGGCAATAAAATGTATGATTTTAACTGATGGTCTCTTCATTGTTGTTTGTCCACCATTCAGTTGTAATTGTGACTGTAAAGGAGGTGGGGGGGGAAGTGGGTACTGATGTAACTTTGAAGTCCCTTAGGCCATTAGATGTAACAAACACAGAATGATAAATGGGGGTGGAAGGATGATATAAAAACTTTATCATCGGAGTTCAGTAAGTGGCAAGAAGACTCAAAAAGCAAGCAGTCTGAAAATTAGAAGTTTGAAATAATTTGAACATGCCTCCTCTGGAAAGTTTTATACTAGGTCACACATTTCCAACAGCAAAAGCCTGACCTGATATTTCAGGTGAAGTGCAAGATGGCTTCAAAAATTCAGTAAGTGATCTGAGATTGAAGAATTCTTGAAAGACAGCTGGAAACCTTTTGTCTTGCTACCTCAGCTGCCAGTAAGTTCGGACTTTCTTTTCTGGATATTTTTGGAGGATGAAGATGGCATGCTGCAGGTGTTTAAAAACTGGAAAACAGATCTTAACTGGAAATCTTTACCTGAAAAAAACACTTGCATTTCAGTTCAGGACTGTCATTGACTAGAAGGTGACCAAATATCTCATCCTTACCAGTGTGTGCAAATGGCAGCAGAAGAGACAAATCAATTTTGTTTTCTGTTCACTTGTCCATGTTGGAAATATGATTAGATAGAACAATATTATTCAAATAATGTTGGGTTTAGAGTATTTTAGTCTTTGCTGAATTCCCAGTAGAAGTCTTGCTATTTAACAAATGCTGTTCTCATGCTTTACTAAGATGCTGAATTCCAAAGATGGTTGATGTGCAAATTTTTGTCTATATATTTGTTACTTAACCAAGAAGAAGAAGATCAGAGCCATTAGAAAGTGTATATTTAGAGAGGCTGTATTTTGGATGCTTTTGAGCTTTAGACCAGGTTTCTTAGTCTTTGTTATCTCAGGATTTTTGAAGGAAGTAGTGCAGCATCTTGAGCAGAAGCAGAGACCATGTTGATGCTGTCCTTTGGTGTTATCCCATGAGGTATTGTTTCTAGCACTGTAGGGTTCTTGTTGTTTTGGGTTTTTTTTTAACCAGGTTGTCCAGTTTTACACCTCTATGGAAAATACAGGTCTCTTTCACAATATAAAATGGTTTTTACCACTGAAAGAATCTTTTTCAGAGCATAGATGAAGGTATAGCACCTTTCTGGTATTTCAGGCAATCCTCTTTAATTTTTTTGGGCTCCATTATGACCTATTGTTGCCTTCTCTGGAGTTTTTTTCAGTTAAAGGAAGGAGGGGCAAAATGTGTCTGTTGTATAGAGATGTGTTTTGCTTGCCCCTCACAACTTTACTTTCTGTGAAATGCCCAGGAACTGCCCCCTAGTAAACGATTCAGCTTTCTGATGTATCTAACATGTGCTTACTCCAGTGTCCAATCATCTTGCTACATCCATATTTATTCCCTTAAAGTGTAGAAAATGCATTCCAGTCAGAGGACTAGAGGGCTTCATTTGTAAGGAGATGTAAGAAACTAAACTTAAAATCATTATCACTGTGAAGAAAAGTTTATCTTAATAAAACACTTTTTATATAGGAGGTAGGAACCAAAAGGCTGTCCCTTTCAAAATGTGTATGCAAGGTAAGCTAACATGTTTTACAAACATATTTATTATTATTTATATCTGAGTTCTAGGAAATAAAAAGTGTGGTGAAAACTGTTGGATGTGTGGGATAGTTGCCTATCCCACAGTACAGTCAGGAAAGTAAATTCTGTCCATTCAAGGCACCTAGACAGCTTATCTTTTTTTTAATAAGCAGTAAGGAATTTTCATAATTTACTGCTTACCCAGTAAGTTAGATACCTCTTATTAACAAATACTGTTTCAGGAAGTGTTAATTAAAATCTTCAATCAGTGCAGTAAATCCTGGGGTAAGTACTGATTTAAGTTGGTGTTTAAATTCAGTATGTTGGCATCAAATAAGTGCCAAAGTTTCTAATTAAGTATGTGTCTGTGTGATTGCTTAGGAAGGACAGTTCAGCAGCTTAAATCAAAGCCTTATGCAATTCTAATTATATTCTATTGAAGTAGGCAGTGATTAAACAGGTATTGGATTGATGCAACTGAAATATCAATGAAGTGATGAATTTTTATATAAGGTGTTTATATAAGGTATTTTTGGTAACTTCAT